ACAGGATTCTTGTTGACGAAGCTTGGTAATATATGTTAGGTGCATATATATCACGGCTCTTGGTATGAAATAGCAAATGGCATCCATGCGTTGGCTGTTACCGCTTCTGGTGTGGCTCACTGAGTCACTAGTACCTTAGTGGTAGCCTGCAGTCGGGGGCACAGCCTGGGGGACAGAGAGGGTGCTGAGAGGGTGTTGGAGGACATCCTCCCCTCCCCTCACTCTCCCGAGCTCAGCAGAATCGGTGATGGAAAGGAGAATTCCTGAACTGCTGACCAACCCATTTTATTTTTATAACAATTTCTTCCTTTTAAAAAAAAATGCTTTTGATAGGGTTGGGAGCTGGTAGGTGTCGTGCTTTCAAGTCATTAACAGTGACTGTAGCAGGCAAAGGGTAGAATTTTCACTTAAAAGATCCTTCTTTCCATAATAATAATAAAAATCTAGGGGCCCCCGTGTATGGAGTATTTATTCTGTGGAGTTTGGTAAGATGAGGTAGATGTCAGCATTCCATGTCACCCACCAGGATGTGGAGTGTCCCCAGGTCCTACAGCAGCAGGGAAGGGTGGAGCTCGCGTCCCCCGATGCTGTGCTACCCTCTGTGATACTCAAGGCCTGGTGTGCAGACCTCTTGTGGGGGGGGGTGGCTCCCCAGCAATCTTGATTTGCAGCTTTGGGGAGTGGCCAGAGGGCTCCCCAGACATTCACAGGTGCCTAGAGTTGGGGAAGCACCCAGGAGCCTGAGGGCAGGGGTTCACCTGTCCTCCAGGCTGATGGTCGCAGTCTCCCTTCAGAACTGGCTTGGGGACAAGACCGGGGGCTGTGGCCCTTGGCTGAGGACGATGTGCCTTGCAGGAGACACCTGCCGTTGCCTGGAGGCAGCTCTGATTGCCACAGTGGGCGAGGAGCAGGGGGTGCCAGTGCTCCCCTGCCAGTGGGTAGAGGACAGGGATGCTGCTGAACCCCCACAAGCCCCCACTAGAGTATCCTCCACCTGGCATGCCAGTTGTCCAGGGGTGCAGAATGCCTGACCAAGGCCTGGTGCCCTGGGCCTGCTAGGTTCCAGCTGGGGGACTCAGGCAAGTGAATCCACCCCTTTGTGAGGCCCCTACAAGGAGATGCACATCGGATCTGCAGGCAGGCTCCAGCTGGCACTCTGAGGGTCCGGGAGCAGAAAGGAGCTGCTGATCCAGCTGGGGAGTCGGGGAACTTCCAGGACAAGGTGGCACGAGTTAGGAAAAGGGAAGTCAGGAGCGACGGAAGGCAGTTGTGAGCAAGAGAGGCTCAGAGGACTTGGAGCAGCCACGTCTGACTTCCCTGTAATGGCTTCCGGCCTCTCCTTCCTTAGGGACACTGTCTCCCCTGGCAGGTGGCCCCCTGTGGGCACACGGCACATGGTGGCAGCGGTCTTTCTCAGAGTGCTGTTTTCTCTCTGAAGTAGTCAGTGATGTCTCAGTGATGTGTTGCCTGGCCTGAGATACCCCACCCCACCCCACTTGTTGTCCCTCCTCTACCTCCAGGGCTTCACACAGGTCCACTTTGTAAGCTCAGAAATGTGAGCATCTTGACGGGAGTGGCGGAAACAAGGGTGCTTCACATGTGACAAAAATCATTAAACTCTACCCTCAACATCTGCGTAAGTTCAACCACAGTAGGAGACGGAAGCCAGGTGTCGTGTTGCCCGCCTGTGATCGCAGCACTCTGGGAGGCTGAGGCAGGAGAATCACAAGCTCAAGGCCAGCTGGGGCAACTTAGTGAAGTAGCAAGACCTTGTCTCAAGAAAAAAAATAAAAAAAGGGCTGGGGATGTAGCTCAGTGCTAAGGCCCTGGGTGTAACACCCTGTACAAAAACCAACCAAACGAAAGAACTTAAGGGGGAGGCAGCGGAGACTCAGCCTTGGACTCTCACTGCTTGAGTTTAGTAACTTTTCTTTTCATTATATTTTTGCCCTGCCTTCTGTTTGTGGAGGTGATACTGATTTTCCATTTGCGTGCCTGGTGTAAAGGTTCCTTTTAAATTAAAAGAATTAATATGTGAATGAATTTAAAGAGAAATACTGAATAATATTTACTGGTGGTTCAGGGTAGAGCAGAGATCATGAAAGTGGTAAGAAAAGCAAGATTTTTTGGATCCTTCTTGAGAAAATTTGGTGCTTCTGAGATGTGCCCAGCTTCTGCCTGTGCTTCGGCCCCTGCAGTGGCTGCAGCTGTGAGCCAGGGGGGCGGAAGTAGCAGGGAATCTCAGCCACTTAAGAACAATTTTAATTCTGTGCCGTTTGTGAAATTTGCTGTCAAATACCCAGAGGACCGAGAAATCAGTGATCATTAATTACCTTCTTAGTCCCTGCTAGCTGTTAAACATTCCCAGGCATGGAGAGAGGAAGGAGAAACAGAAAAGAAAAACTGCCATGAGGACTAATTAAAGCCAGTGTGAATGCTGCAGTACTTGGAAGCTGGCAGCGAGGTGGGGCTCGAGGAGGGGCCTGGGTGGCTGTTTCCCGGCAGCCTTTCTGCGATGCCCACCTCGCCTGAAGGGTATTTCTGATCAGCTGCCCTGGGGGTTTCCTGATACGCCTGGCATTTTTGCTCAGAAACTTTTGGTGCTTGCAGGGCAGTGAATTCTCAAAATATTGCCAGATGTGGATTGGATGCCAGTTTTCCCCCAGATTGAAAATCCATGCTCTGCTCCCTGCCGGGAGGGTGTGTGCTGCACACGTGAGTGAGTTCAAGGGCAAGTCCGAACTGGCCACGCTTCACAGGAACTGCAGGCCCCGCACAATCCCGCTACAAAAAGCAAAGGTGTCAGAGCCAAGAGCAACCCAGAGACAGATTTGGTTTTGCACCGTTCTGTTATAAATGAGAAGGTGGAGGCCCAGAGTGGGTGGGGACTTTTCCAGAGTCACACAGCTAGTCAGAGGCAGGGCAGGACTCAGTTCTCAACTTCCTGCTTCATAAACCAGGGTTTCGTTATCATACATATGTTCTGCCCGCCCCCCAATGCAATTTAAAAATGTTTGGAGAATTTCTTTTCTCTACATAATACAGAAGTCAGTTTCCTTTCTGCCACTCTGCTGTCCCCTGCATACTCAGGTTGCCTTGCTGGAGGAAGTCACTTGTCTGTGACCAGCAGCGAAGCCTACGCATCCATCTGCTGTATGTGTGCCCAAGTGCACACATGCACACCCCCTTCTATGCCAGATGTGCTGCCCATTTGTAGGCAGGACCCAGCCAGGTGCCAGGGATATTTACTAATTGTTGAGGGAGAGGCAGTCAATGAATAGATAACAGCCCAGTTACTTACTTGGAATTTGGGAGAAGTACAGGAAACAGCCAGGAAACCCTGAGAGTACTGAGAACTTAAGGGCATGAGTGGTTGTAGTCATATAGAAAGGGGGGGTGCTGGCAGGAACTGTTAAGGCAGAGGACACAGCAAGTGCAAAGGTCCTGAGGTACATGTTTTCCCCAAACTCTAATTTTGACTGGAGTCCAAGGAGAGAGGGAGGTAGGGAGGTGAGAGGAGAGGTGAGGTTGGCGGGCACAGGCCTTGGCCAGGCTGGCTTAATGGCAGTCATTTATCTTTACCCTAAGCCGTGGGACACTGTTGGGGGCTCTCACCTGGATGGGGGCTCCAGCCAGTCCCCCTGAGATCAGCATAGCCAAGTTGGAGTGCCTAGAGTGCCCAGAAAGGGCACAAGGAGGTTGAGGATGGCCCGAGTGTCTACCCAGGGGCCCCAAGGCAGGAGACCACCATGCAGTTTCCCAAAGAGGTCTTGCTCCTGGCCCTGGACACGATCCCTGCATTTATTCACTCTTGGGCACTCAGCAAATGTTTATGGAGGGCCCGCAAGCGACAGGTGCTTGGCAGACAATGCAGAGCCACAGTGGTGAGGAGCCAGGCTGGCCCGTGTCACTGTCACTGATGGAGAAGGCAGAGGTGGGGAGCCCTGAGGTGGAACAGGCTGAGGAGAGACCTTCCCCCTGCTGACAGCACAGGATTTCCCAAGTAGCCCTGTGCATCTGGTGCAGTGCAGGATCCAGTGAGGGACACAGGTCCGAAAGATGGGGCATCGTCAGAGAGGGCCAGGCTTGGGAATGAAATAACAGTGTGAGCTGGGGGATGGCAGTGTCTTAGGTGACTGACACAGAATCTGGAACAACACCCCGCGGCACGTGTGTGTTTTCCAGGTGGCAGCAGAAGCCTGGGGTGGATGCCATGATTAAAGAACTTAGATAATTCCACTTCCACTGGCTTTAAGGCTCAGAGCTTAGAAGACCCTGCAGCACTGATCCTGCTTTGGGGGTCCACAGGATTTCTGAGCCTGCTAATTCCATGTCTTGGTTAATCTTTTCCCCTCCTGGGGCCTCATCTGTAAAATGACCATATGACACAGGCTTGGTTCTGAATTCAGGTGCTTCTTGTACTTGGGTGGGAACATGTAGGGTTCAGATTTGGTGCTCCGTGGGACACCACAGCCCGCACCGTCCCCCTCTGCATCCTGCGGCCACATCATACACGTAGAATGACAAGAGGGATCTAGATAGTACTTTTCAAACAGTGGGGCATGACCCGCTGCTGGGACAGGAAGTCGTTTAATGGGTTGTGACCAGCAGTGACATAAAATAACCCCAGGCAGCAGGGAGGTGGGAGGCATCACAGGATGTAGCAGGGTAAGTATCTTCTCAGCTGTAGGAGTGTGGGATGGCATGAACCAGGTTGTGACATAGCGAGTTTCTGCTGAGGGTCTTTAGCCTCTCACCAATGCAGCACCCCTGGGATCCTCTGGACACCTTTGCTCCTCTCTGACCTTTGTCTTGAAGGAGTTTGGGGTAAAGCAGCCTCACTTTCCCCTGGGTGAGGGCCTGAGGCTCTAGTTTGGGATTTGTCCTGGTGGGGATTAAAAAAATAAATGGCAGGAGAGAAAAACCCAGCCTGTGATTGCTGTGCGTGGGAGTTCTGTTTTGGAGGCTTAAAAGACCCCTCCTTCCCCTTCTCTTTCCAGAAGAACCGAATGCACATAAGGTCGCCAGCCCACCCTCTGGACTCGCATACCCTGATGATGTCCCGGACTGTGGCCTCCAGCCATACAGCCCCCTCGCCAGTCTCTCTGGCGAGCCCCCCGGCCGGTTCGGAGAGCCGGATAGGCTAGGGCCCCAGAACTTTCTGAGCCCGGCCAAGCCAGCAGGGGCCTCGGGCCTGAGCCCTCGGATCGAGATCACTCCATCCCACGAACTGATCCAGGCAGGGGTGCCCCTCCGCATGAGAGACGCTGGCCTCCTGCTGGAGCAGCCGGCCCTGGCCGGGGTGGCTGCCAGCCCGAGGTTCACGCTGCCTGTGCCCGGCTTCGAGGGCTACCGCGAGCCGCTTTGCTTGAGCCCCGCTAGCAGCGGCTCCTCTGCCAGCTTCATTTCCGACACCTTCTCCCCCTACACCTCGCCCTGCGTCTCGCCCAACAACGGCGGCGGGCCAGATGACCTGTGTCCTCAGTTTCAAAACATCCCTGCTCATTATTCCCCCAGAACCTCGCCAATAATGTCACCTCGCACCAGTCTCGCCGAGGACAGCTGCCTGGGCCGCCACTCGCCCGTGCCCCGTCCGGCCTCCCGCTCCTCGTCACCTGGTGCCAAGCGGAGGCATTCGTGCGCAGAGGCCTTGGTTGCCCCGCTGCCCGGAGCCTCACCGCAGCGCTCCCGGAGCCCCTCGCCACAGCCCTCCTCCCACGTGGCCCCCAGGGACGACGGCGCCCCGGCTGGGTACCCCCCCACAGCGGGCTCGGCCGTCCTCATGGATGCCCTGAACAGCCTCGCCACCGACTCGCCTTGTGGGATCCCCCCCAAGGTGTGGAAGACCAGCCCAGACCCATCGCCCGTGTCTGCGGCCCCAGCCAAAGCCGGCCTGCCCCGCCACATCTACCCCGCGGTGGAGTTCTTGGGGCCATGCGAGCAGGAGGACAGGAGAAACTCGGCTCCAGAGTCCATCTTGCTGGTGCCGCCGACTTGGCCCAAGCAGCTGGTGCCTGCTATTCCCATCTGCAGGTGAGTGGGGCTTTGAAACTCATCTACCCCGGGAGATAGTTTTCTGGTTAGCATGGAATTTAGAACTGGGTGGACTGATGGAAGTCCAAGCGTTGCCACTTGCTGGTTGTGAGATCCTGAGAGGGAATTTAAACTAGCAAGTGCTGGATAGATGGATGCAGCCAAATAACTGCTCAGACGGCACTGCTTGTGCCAGTTTTTTTATAGGTACTAGGAAGACAGTAGTGAACTCAACAGACACAAATTTCTGTCTTTTGGGAGCTGACATTCCAGCCAGCACACAGCAAGCCTTAGTATGCAAAGTCTACCCCCTTATAAGAAGAATTGGCATTTGTTGGCATCTGCTGTATGCTGAGGTACTGCGCTCAGTGATATGGAGGCCTTAAAAAATAAAATGCCTACGTCTGAATCCCCAAGGAGCTGTGATCTTGGTGGGTTTAAGAGATGCATATAGATAGCAGCGTACAGGCTTTGAGATTGCTGAGGATTAGATTTGAGCCTTGCTGTGCTCTCACTGCCTATATGATACTGGGCATCTCTGATGCTGACCTTCTGATGCTGTGCCTGTGGCAGACATTGCTAATCAATTAAGACTCTCACTGAGCACCTTGTTGATGCTGCACCTAGAGCAGACATCACTAATCAATCAAGACCTCTCATTTTTACTGAGCACCTTTCTGTCCTTGTTTCATTCCCTGCTACAAGGCAGGGTAATAATCGTACCTGCCTTATAGCAATTTTCCCCAAGGATTAGGTTAAATGACATTCTTGGCATAGAGTCTGCATAAAGTAAGAGTCAGAAAAGGAATGGCTGCTATTATAGGGGAACCTAATTCTTAGAGAAGTGCTTCCTCGTTGATAGGCCTTGTGTTAGGAGATTGAGCTTATAGTATCCTTTACGGACGTGATGATGGGATCAAGAACTACCAACATTTAGCATAATGGTAGTGACATTAGAGCCACTAACGTTGAAGGATGCTTGCTATGTGGCAGCACAGTTTTAAGTGCTCTGTATGTGTCATCTCACTTAATTCTCACCTCAACCCCGATTAGTATTATTTAGCATCATTTTTTTGTTTTCATTTAGATGATAAGGAATAGGAAGTGGCCAGGCCAAGGGCAGATATTGTTCTATCTGCTCTATTGGATGAAGAGCTGGAAGGCGTATGGTATCATTATTAGCCCTGTGGTTCTCATTGTTTTTTGCTTTAGTAAATGGAAGTACAACCCTTCAGACAAAATATTGAGTTGAGGGCCAGGGATTAAGCTCAGTGGTTCAGCCGCCCACCTCACAAGCGCAAGGTCCTGAGTTTGATCCCTGGTACCAAAAATAAAAATTGAGTTGAATGCCATAATGGATAAAGGTAGAGCAGTTTTGATTGATGCTGGAGTGAGGATGGCATGGGTGCTGCTCACTGGGCTTTGCACCTTCCCCCACCAGACCAAAACAGATGGAAGGGAGCATCCAATCTAGTGTTCCTCTAATGCAGGTTCTAGAACTCCAGGGCCACTATAGGTTATTCGGTGTTAAGTTTCTGGGTTAAACACAGATACATAGGTCGCCTAGTGCAGGCCTTCTTTGAGTCTTTAATCGCCATGGATGGGCTGTGATTTCAAAGACCATTTGGCACTAGAGTTCTGAGTTCTGGGACTGACATTTCACAGAGCCACCGTAGGAAATGCTGACCAAGGCCAACTCCTGGTACAGACTAAGAATTTGGGCTCAGATGTGAAGTGACAAGCCTAAAATCACCAGCTAGTTGGTGGCCACATTGGGAAGTAGAATCTGGGATTCCTGCCTTTTAGTTCTTTCTACTAGAGATCAGCCTTGAAACTATGATGTTATCTGGTGATTTAGAGTGAGGAGATGAATTGGTATGAAATATGGTTATAATAAACCTGAGACTTTGTTTGTTAAACCTTCTCCTCTCTGTTCTTCTGCTTGATCTGAGAGGCACTGAGTGTTAGAGTCCTTTAGTCCCTACTGGTGCCAATCTGTGCCAACCAATCCAATATTTGCAAACATTTCCTATATTGGGGGAGACCTCACAGTGACATGTGTTCCTTGAGGGCAGTTGAGGACAACTGGAGTAGGACTGGAATCGAAGTGCAGGACTTCAGCCTGGCTCCTATGGTCTAATTCTTAAAACTGTATTTCTGGGTCAAATACCTGCTTCAGAACCAAACAAGATTATAAGCTAGAACTTGGTGATATCTCAGTAAATCTACACACTAATTTCGGGGATCCAACTCCGGACCTTGTGCTTACTAGGCAGGCGCTGTGCCACTGACCTACATCCCCAGCCCAACACTGACATTTTTTGATACTTCAAAAGATTATCAGTTCGGGGTTGAAGTGGGGTTTTTTTTGCCTTATTTTGTGAATTTAAAAGTTCCAATTCACATACGTGATAGAAATAGGAGTATTTAACATGCATGTCACGTCGGCTGCGGGCAGAAACTCAGAGGCCTCTTGGCATTGTCACCAAGGTGGAAGGGAAGGTACTTTAACACCCTCAGGCCGGGGATTTAGCTCAGTGGTTCCGGCGCCAGGTCCTGAGTTTGATCCCCGGTACCAAAAAAATAAAAAAACACCCTGAAACTGCAGGGTGGTGGAGGCACTGGAGTCAGTGTGCTTGGAGGGCAGGGATGGGGGCTCTTGCACAGGGAGGGTACAATTTTCAGTGGGATTATGCTGTATGCTTAAGCCTGACTCTGGAGATGAGGGAGGTACTGCGCCCTACCTCTGCCAACTCTGTCCCTCGATGATAGGACTGGGATGGGACTGGCTTCACTGCCCATGCTTCACTCAGTCCAGCTGACAGTGCCAGCTTCTTACAGCTCTAAGGTAAGTGGGAATGAATACTCCGATTGGGTTAATGACTTCTGCCATTGTGAAGAACCAGGGCAGAGTGCCACAAATCCAGGCATATTCAACTTCAGAGCTCTTGTGGATATTCAGGCCTTATGTGCAATAAAGCTACTCATCCATTCATTCACCTACGTATCCATCGCCCCATCTATGCATCTAGCATCCACCCACCCACCGAATCTTCACTCAGGAATAGTTCTAGAGCGAGTCCATAAGTGAGATTTTCTTGGACTTATTAAAATAAATGAGCAAATTAAGAGGCACCATGGAGTTGTGAGTGATGTCCTGGACTTGGATTCAAGAGACCAAAGTTGAAGCTTTGACTGTCTTGCTCCGTTTTCTTGGGAAATATCTTCATGTTCTGTGAGGCAAGGAGGAGCCGAGGCAAATTCTCCAGACCTTGGTCTAGCTCCTCCGCACTGTAGTCCTAGCCACATGACAAGCGCCTGTTGTATGCTACGCAGTGTTGAGTATGTATAAGAAAATAGAACTTAAGCATCTCCTCAAAGATCTCACAGACGGATGCGAGGGTATATATTTCTGATACCATAGCCAAGGTAGAGAGTTTATAGAAAATAGCTTGACACATAGACTATATTACAGGAAAAATAGTATAGTTAGTATATATTGAGCACTTTTGTGCTAAACTCTTTATGATCTCAGTATTTCCATTTCATAATGGAGGAAACTAAGACCTAGGGAGTTAAAGGCATTTGCTCAAAGTTACCCAGGTAGTGGGGGTAGAGTTGGGACTTGAACTTGAGTGTGTAACTCTAGTTATGTTACTGACATTGACTCTTCGTTTACTGTTAGGAGGTCTGAGTGGTTTGACTCATCCATGCCCAAACTAGAGACCTCTATATGGGTAGATGACCCATCGTTTATTGAGCCAGTTAGTAAGGACTGTGGCTGTGAATGACCTCTCCCCCGAATACGCTTCTAGATGAGATAATAAAAAATAGATAAAAGAGCTGTAATAAGTTTCAGATGCCATCTGGTCTATTTGCCATGTGGTTACAAGAAACTATGAATAAGAAAGATGAAGCTCTTGCTTAAAGTCCCACAGCAAGTGAGGGACACATATTTCGCCAGATTGCCACTAAGTAGTCCTTGTCCCACATTAACCCTCTGGAAAAGGAAAGCATCCTTGCCAATGGGTATTTTGAGGGATAGGGGTCCTGTTCTTTACAATTCCCAGAGGAGGCAATGACTGCAACTAGTAGCATGCTGCAACTGACATATAATGAAATTAGCTGCATACATTGAGAAGCTAGTCTTCATTTCTTCAGGATGAAAGAGAAAGCAAAGGATGTCTACCTTGAGAAGAGCCCTGCCTGTCATGCCCGATCAATACAAAGCTCCTCAACATCCAACATTTTGTTCATATACCACTGGACACAATTTCCAGAAAAGGGGCTGTTTACATTTATTGTACATGAATGGCTGACTGCTTCTGGTTTATCGTACACGTGACCAGCTCATTTTCTTCCTCAGCATCCCAGTGACTGCGTCCCTCCCTCCACTTGAGTGGCCACTCTCCAATCAGTCAGGCTCCTATGAGCTGCGGATCGAGGTGCAGCCCAAGCCACATCACCGGGCCCACTATGAGACAGAGGGCAGCCGAGGGGCTGTCAAAGCTCCAACGGGAGGCCACCCTGTGGTGCAGGTATGACCTGATTCTCCTCCTCTGGTGTTTTGTGTCCATCACTAGGTGGTTCATTTCTGAGCTGCTGCTTGTAGCATGGAAGGCTGAGGTGTGTGTCTGAGCCTCCGACTCCTCTGAGGGATGAGGCATTTTGAGGTTGGGTTAGTGTCAGAAGCTCACCTGGCTATCAGAAGCCCGAGAAGAAAGTTTTTTTGAGCTAGATAAGGACAAAATGATTTTCACAGGCAAGATCCTTCCCTGTTCTTTCTGATTATGAAATGGCTAGCACTTTGCAGAGATTTGTGTGGTGACAGGTGGTTTCTAAAGCCATCATCTTAAGTTTCAGATAACAGTCCATCACGGAAAAACAAGACTCTTGGAAAATACAGGAAAATAAGAAAAATTAAACTGGAATATAATCAAATTATCAAAAATAACTGTTATTAGTATTTTGATATATTACCTGTTATCTTTTTTCTTTTTCTTTTTTTTTGGTACCGGGGATCGAACTCAGGTCCTTGTGCTTTTGGGGCAGGCGGCAGAACCACTGAGCTAAATCCCCGACCCTGTTATCTTTTTTCTAGTCACGAGCATAGCTCTCTAACTGTATATTTATATACTTGGTACTATAATGAACATGTAGTTTGAACTCTGATTTTGAAAAACTTTATAATCGTGAGCACTTTCTTGTTTTTTCTTAATCAGTATTCTTTGTGGCTTTTGATGTAACTTGAGAAGTATTTTTTCCAAATAAGTAGAGAAAAAAAAAAAAGAAAGAAAACCAAATAATTAGAGAAGTATACTTTTTTCTCCAAAATAGAGTGAAATATTATTTGTAATTGTATAGTCTGGTTAACCAGGAGCTACTTACTGGTGCCCACCTACAAGCTCAATCAACCAGAATCTCCAGTATATTTATATTAATGTAACGTGTGTGTGTGCGTGTGTGTGCGTGTGTGTGTGTGTGTGTGTGTGTCTACCTCAAAGTGTAGTATTCTGTGATACAAAGCTTAATCCGCAGTGTGCACCAGAACTGCTAGGAGCAGATTCTTGGGCACTCTGAAGAATAAAGTCCAAACAAACAACTCCAAGCGCCCAAATCTGCACAAGGGCTTTGGTGTGTACCCCTGGTTAAGGACTTGTAGGGTAATATTAAGAACTTACGAATCCTGGAAATTGCTTTTTCTAAATCTGACACTGCAGCAATGTTAGGATCTGTTTCTATTCATTGATTTTTTTTTTTTTATGACTATGAGTCACATCTTCTCTTTCTTTGTCTATCTAGTAGTTATTGACTCTGGCGTTGTGATAATAATTTATCTTGAATGTTGTACAGACTCTGGATTTTGTTATCTTTCCTTAAAGGCAGCCTAGTGACTGGCTGATCTCCTTGAACTTGTGCAGGGTGCATTTTATATTTTATTTTGTGAAGGTGGATTTGTGGAGAACCCAAGTCATTTCTAACTATGGAGCTCCACCTTTAAGTTCCTTTCTGTGTGGATCCAGTTGAGGAATGGCTATGGGCCCTGCCTGGCAGGACTGGAGGAGCTTTGCCCTAAGGCACATGCTTATTCGGAAGGCCTGGCTTTGTGGACCCTTGGTGGGGAGGTCTCCACACTGGTAGGCTGGAGCTCCAGTCTGCTAGCCCTGCTCCACCTCTAGTGCCCCGTCCACCCTGTAGCAGGTCTCTCTGGTAAGCCTTGTGGTCTCTCCCTGGACTGACACTGTCCGACCCTCAGCCAAGGCTTCGAGGGCTCCGGAGCAGCGTCCTCCCCTCTGTTGACTTGTCTGTGGATTGCAGCTGCTTCTGCAGCCTGGGAAGCTGTACTCTGCCTGTCAGCTCAGCGGGACCCCTACGCTCTGCTCCCACCCCAGCCCTGCATGTGGTTGGGGAGACCATCCATCCCCAGGCAGCGGGCCCGGGTGAACATGCACTTCCTCCTCTCAGGGCTAGCAGCCTGATGCTGTGTGCTGTGTAGGGCCTGACATCAGCGGCATCATGGACTTTTGTCCTGTTTTGGTGGGAGGGCTGGTCTGTTACCACTTTCTTTGCAGCCTTTGACAAATACTTTTTGCCCAAGAAAGTCTTTGTATCATTACTGATCCAATCTGACCTGTTTTAGGAGGGGATTTCCTGGGCTGCAAGTTGCTGGGAGACTGTTGGAGTCAAAGCATTGGGACGTAACGGAGAAACTCATTCAGAGCAGATTAGAACAGTGTATATGGGAGGGTGTAAGATATTGTACAAAACCACGGTAGAAGACTGAGCTCAGGCATACCTGACGTGGGGAGTCAGGGCCCACTTGTCTTTGCCTGCTTAGTTTAGCCATTCAGTTCATTCTGCAGGTGTTTGTTCAGAGCATACTGTGTTTATGCTGTGTACTGTGGTGCTGAAATACCAGGAGGAATCAGAAGTTTCTTTCAAGGAACTCCTAGTGGGGAGAGAAGTTGATTAATCATGCAAGTGGGAGAATTATAAGCTGTGGCAGGTGGGATGAAGGATAGCTGTGAGGAGCTTTGGACATGTAAAACTGAAGAGTTAATGCAAATAGGCGAAGGGCATCAGCTAAGATTTCTATTGAGCATTTACTATGGACCAGGCCCAGTGCTAGGTTCTAAGATATCACAAGAACAGAACAGCCAGAAAGTCTCACCCTTGTGATCCCATGTTTTATCAAGAACCTAATAAACACGTAGCATTTATTGCGGGGGGGGGGGCTGTTTCCAGTGCTTAACTCGTGGTAACTGATTTAATCCTCACAAGAGTGGTAAGAAGCAGTAATGGTTAGATCAAGGTGAGGATGCAAAACTGTTCATGGTCCTGGTTGTTCAGTGCTGGAGCCAGGCTTTGCACCAGGAGCTCTACTTCCTACACGGCTTTTCCCACACCTCTGTGGATGGCACTCCCTCCCTCCTCACTGGTGCAGAGAAAGTGATGTAGAAGATGCCCCCATGTCCCAGCTGCCACCCTCTCCCCCATGTTTATGTACTGTCCCGGTTCAAGCCCAGTCACCAGCTCTTTGGAGCCACTGCTGCTTTTCGGGATCCGCTGGCCCTGGCTGGGGAGAGTCACCAGGCCACGTGAGAAATGAGGCTTGGTGGAGCAGCACAGAAATAGAAGCAGATGTGGAGATAGCGGTCAGGAGAAGCAAGAGCTGAAGTACAGAGCAGGGCTCTTCCAGAATGCAGCCCGGCAGGTGCCAGCAGGGGCTTTGCACCCTTGTGGGGGCCAGTGGGGGCCGGGCCCAGGGAGTTCCAGAGAAGGGAATGGGCTGGACAACGGTCCAAAGGATGCCTCCCAGCTAGGCCTGAAGGACCCAGAAGGACCCAATCCTCCCCTGGCCTGCAGCTTTGAAAACCCAATCAATGTATGCTTTAACAATTTGTAGTCAAGAGATGCAAAGTCAAAAGATGCAAAATCATTTCATAGGCTGTTCTCTTCAAAATGAAAGATGCTAATCCCTGATTTTTAGTGTAGGAAGTTGGTTTGAAAAAACAGAAAGAAACCTCTGAGCTGGAGGTGGTGATGCATGTCCATAATCGCAGCACTATGGGAGGCTGAGGCCAGAGGTTTGCAAATTTGAGCCCAGCCTGGACAACTTAGGGAGGGCCTGTCTCAAAACAAGGAATAGAAAAGAGCTAGGATGTAGCTTAGTTCAGAGGCCCTGGGTTCAAACGCTGCCAGTACCACAAGAGAAAGAAAAAAGAGCCGTCTTTGAAAAGTGAGAGAGGGCCCTGTGGTGATCGCTGCTTAAGTGGGTGAACAGCCCCATCCAAAATGGGGGGGCTGCCCTTGTCGCTTCCCAGTGGGCAGTGCAGCCACTCTTCCAGTGTCTCCATGGCGCTACATTTGAGTCTGTCTGGCACTACGGCTCCTTCCCCTCGCTGCTGCTCTGTCCCCGCCCCTCTTTTATATTTGCCACATTACAGAATTTCAGTTTTTTGCATGGCTGGTGGTTTTAGGCTCCTCCTTATACAAGGAGACGAGTAGGAGACTGCTTTATTCACTCTCCTTAAAGGTAAAAGTAAGACGTGTACATGTGTGCCAGGCTTGGCTGGACTTTTTTTGGATTCTGTTCTTTTCTGAATATCACTTGGTCTTGGAAGAAAATTTGTTCCAAAACCCTAAATGCTTTCGGATCTCCTGACTCAGGCCTCTGGCTGGGGTTTTGTGGAGGACCTGCGCGTGGCCGGCACTTTGCTAGGTGCGAGAATGTCAGGCTGCTGCCGTGACAGTCCTCCGGGCTGCCCGACGAGACGCTGGACATGGAGGCGACGTTACGGCTGATTAGGGAGTCGTCCAGTGGATCCATAAGTCAGGGCAGTTACCCAACAAAATCAGTCATGCCAGGAAGTGGTGCTTGGAAGATTTACTGTAGAGGGAGGGTCTTGCCAAGGAGGCGGCTTGCCACTGAGGCCAGTAGATGGAGCCAGCAGAGATGGATAGTGCCTTCTCTGTCTCTGTCTCTTGTATCCTATATATGGGTGGTAGAGGGAGAGGGTTCAGTGCAGGGAGCACAGCACATGCAAAGGCCCTGAGGCAGGGGCCGGTGTCTCTGGAGTTTAGCTCAGAGGTGATGTTTGGCAGGGCCAGGGTATGGAGGCCTCAAAAGCCAAGGAGAGGGGCTCCAGTGTTATTCCAGCCTGGGGGGAAAGGAGGGATGGCTTTTGGATAGAAGAGGAGCATGAGTTGGTTTAAGCCAGACTTCCCTCTGTAAACGGCTTGGAGGAGTTAGGGATGAAGTAGGGAGTTTGTGGGGCTGTGTCAGTGTCAAGAGAAGATGAGGGCGGTGAGGACTAGAGGGTAGCAGTGCAGGGGAAGGGATGGGCTCTTGCTGTGGCCCGCAGGGCTCGATGTGGGAGGAGAGGGGTGGGTGGGTCACCTGTGGGGTGACCCAGCACTTGGGGTGATGATGAGCTCATTCTGGGCGTGGAATACCATCCTCCTGCCCCCAGTTACTTCCCACACGCTGAGCAGCAGCCTGCTGCTCCTGGAAGCAGGGAGTGAGAAGAGAGCCACG